CTGGGGCTGTGTGCCCCTGCTGGGTGATTTCATGCTCTCGTTGTCGCTGTCAGCTCTGCACCAAACCCTTCAGACAGGTGCTCGTACTTTACCTTGGCAGTGTGTGAAGCTGCCAGGCAGTGYAGTGCTGAGCATCACTCCATCTCTGCCCTGCCACACTTTCAACATGAAGAAAGAACAAACAGCCTCTAGATTCCTTCCCACCACTGAGAGGGGAAGGTCACTGCAGCCCATCCTCGGCCTTCTGCCAACACCACAACTGTGACACTGCCAGCTTACTTGGGCTTAAAGTCCTCTGACATGAAGAGAAAAAACATGAGATGCACATGGGCTTGGCAACACTCCACCTTCTTCCAGRGGGTGTAGACTGACCCTCCTACTTCCCATCAGCCTTCACTCTGTTTGCAAATGTGTCCCCCTTTGCACACACGTGAGGAAGGGATGATCTCTGCCAACAGCCTCTTTGTCCATGCGAAGGGCGAGCAGACCTTCAGCAATTCCTGAGCAACTGGAGCACTTCACCTTAGGAGAGACCTTGGCTAAAGCCACACCTGAGACCTCTTCAAGTCACTTCTCACACAACTGGATACATCAGGGAAATAAAAAACAGATGTGAGCTGTTGATGCCTCTAGCCTCATATTAATAACACACTCAAGCCTTCAGTGTGCTCTACCTTGATCTGGCTGAGCTGATGGGCAATGACAATCTAAATTTAGGGCAGACTCATAATAAAACCTAAAAACCCTTTGCAATGCAGAACACTACTTGGTTTTTTTTCTTCCAGAATGCAATTTCTGCTCTACTTTTTAAGTAGTCCTAGCTACTGCTGAGGCAATATTCATGGGGGGAATAAAATCCTCTGTACAGGGTGGCAGTTGTCAGTGGGAACTGATGTTTCAGTATGGAGTTTCAGGATCTTAAATTACTTMCTGCAGAAGTTGGTTCTCACTCTGCTTAAAATCATTACATTGTGCTAATTTAATTTCTGCATCAGCATTAGGAACAACTGGTTTAAATGATATCTGAACTGCAAGTAGAGATTTGGCATTTTAACCAACAGTTGCTTTTTCAATTAAACACAGATGCCATGTGTAGGGTACTCTGAATGCAAAATAAAAGTTAACCTGACTGTTGGTTCCAAGCTGAAACAACAGAAATCCTAACTCTGGARTGTTTTTGGTAGTCATATTTTAGAAATAATCTTCTATGGTGAGCCAAAATCTATGCAGACAGTTACAGTCAGATAACAGTTTAAAAAATAGATTATGTTTTAGCTGTACTTTTGCTGCTGTTAAATTTATCTTCTGAAATAGCAGGGAGCATGAGTTGAGGGTTGAGAAACAGTAATTTTGTAATTATTTTATATGGATTGAATTATTCTGTCATCAAATTTGCATTTCAGACAGCGTTACAGTATGAAAATATAATTAGAAACTGTAATTCAGGAATTGCTAAATGTGATACTTCCCAGAGGGAGCACTGTGAAGAAGCTGCCCTTACTACAACTTTAGCAAATGTTAAAATCCTATAGGTGAAAAACGTGAAGGCTGACTTGTAAAGTTCCTCTCCCTTCTGCAGTCTTCACAAAATGTCAACTTTCTGCTGAAGTTCATTTTTTCTTAAGATTCATTTCCACAGATACATCTAATCATTAAGAACTGAAAGGCTCAGATCCCRTTCTGCTGAATTTCAGTCTGGCTGTGCTGGTAGCTGCTGAATTGCTTTCAGCCACAAAATGACACTGAGATATTGTAAGGATCTGATTTAGATGCAGAAAAGMCAGGTAGCTTGTGGTTTGGTCTGAAATGCTGGTTTCAATTATTTGCCCAGTACCTGAAATTCCCAGCCACGCCTCCTTTCACAGAAGGTAGYTGAGGATGGGTCTCAGTTTAGCTCTGTTTATCTTCTTTTGTTGTTCAATATTTTTCACAGTTCTGTTCACAGTGTTGTGCAAAGTTTTAGCTGTACAAAACTCACTGATGTCAATCCTGTTTTTTATTCTTGTGGCAACCTATGGCTTATCATAGACATACGAG